AATCTTCCTCCCCTTAAAAGATTTCATAATTCCTTGTTTATCTTCTTCCTATTACATGCTTCCTTGTATACCCAGTATTTGAATATCAAGTTTCTGGATCCTGGGTGATTGACTTATTTCGAAGATGTGTTTTTGGAATATTTTCTCTGGGATTCCTTCCTCTGATGATAACAATGAAAGAGGGACTGGTGCCATATTTGGATTATAGGGTTCATTAGATTGTGCTTTACAGTATTGTTTTTCTGGGATTATGGAGGACTACAACTTAGCGTTCATGATTCGTGTAATAACCATAAAGGTGATTGTTCCTTTGTCAAATTAAGGGAGCATAGTGAAAGGCACATTGTCCAATGTCTATATTTTGTAAGCCATATGGTCTATATCAGAATGCTATTCCTTTTTTTTTTTTTTGTATCTCATTTGTTTCTGTTGCCAAAAGCCATATAAACCCAGAAAGCAGTTTAGAAAAGAACAAATGAACGTTTAGGAGTTAGGAGTTTTGTCTTCGTATCTTAGTTGAATACCGGAATAAGAAGACCCAGGCATCATAGTCCAGTGATCTGTCAGAATTCATTAGAGTGCTTGAGTTTTACTCCAGGTACAAAAAATAACATTGGCCAAAAGAAGAGATGGTAGTATGCCTGAAATTTATTAAAGGTATTGTGGTTATGGATCCATATCCTGGTTAGGTTGGCTAGTATACTAATTCATAGACCCAAGTGGCCAAACAATCCAGGGGTCCCTTGCATTTTCAACAATGCATCAACTTTTATTAATAAGAGTTGGAAGCATATACAAATTGATGATTAACATATAATCTGTCATGTAGGTTTATCAATGATAAGAAGGGCTTCGTGCTTGGGAACGATGGGGTCTTGCTCCGATATCTTGGTTAAAGTGGTAATCCACCCAAGGTAATCAATTTGATTCTCCCTTGAGCATCCTTTTGACAAAATTCATTAGTTACGTTCTCTAAAGTTTGTTGTCTGTGGCATTCCATCTCATCAATAACTTGGTGGTAGATTTTGGCCAAGGAAAATAGGAAAAATGGCTTTCTAGATTGTTTGAATAAATTATTTTAACATTGTTCATGCCATTGCAGGTTTTTCAAAGTGCTTGCAATTTTGTATAGTTGATTTGTATGCCTGGATGTTTTGGCTGTAAATTATATACAGAGGTACCAAACTTTCCCTGCAATTCAATACCGTAGTTGCAATGTTTTTATAGAATTAGCTGTGATTCTTTGTGATCTGTTGTACCCCGAAAGAAGCTCTCACAGAAATGATGAGATTATGATGTTCTTTTATCAAGTATTGGCCTACGTTGTAAGTCCATTCCAATGAATACATGAATTAAGAGTTGCAAGTTTAACTTGGGTTATAGACTTTCTGAAGAATTTGTCAGACACGAACTAGTGAGTCCTAGCAGTTGAATGAAGTTGATTGATTAAAGAATAGAATCTTGGGGAAAGACCAAACCATGATAATTACTTGGTAATCAAATTTCAGTTATTCTTTTCAATATATTTGATCGATAGATTTGGCTATTGTAGTAGGAAAAATTATTAGATATTTTAGGAGTATAGTTAAGTTAGTATACCTCATAAACTTTAATCTTGTTTGTTTCTATAACTTTTTAATATAAATTTAAAACAAACTAATCAAATTAATGAGAGTTATCAACTTGTATGTACTTTGTGAAGTAGCTTATAGTTTGTTGTTTTTGCAGTAATTGATTCTTCATTTTCTCCAACAGTGAGAAGACAAACTTCTCTATTCTGTTGATTTGACAGAGATGGTGGGAGTAATGTAAAACTTTATGTTTTTAAAAGGAAAAAAGAAATATTTTTCATTAGAACTTAATAATAACTATCTTATTGCAGTGCAGCAATGGAATCAGAAAGTCCTTGAGAGAGCAAAAATAAATAAAGGCTTCCCATTGGTAATATTTACAAGAGTCCATAAAAAGACGACAAAGATACAAGTTAAAAAAAAAAAAAAAAAGTCATCAATAGTTTATTCACAAAATTAAATGAACGTGTTTGATTCATTAATTTCAATTATTTATCATATAACAATTTTGTTTAACCTGAAATTTGATAAATTTTCTTTGGTCATAAAACAAAATAAAAATACAAAATTAAATTTACTTTTAAATTGTTATTACTGTTTTTATTTTAATATTATCGTGCCCAAGGGAAAAAAAAAAAAGTAAAGAAAAATTCACTATCATTTTTAATTATTATTATTATTTATTTTTATTTTCAAGAAAAATAAAATAAAATAATATGATTGAGAAAAACACAAAAGAGAATAAACAAAAGAAAAATAATAAGAAAACAACAACTAGACAAAAGGGGCAGGAGGCCCTTCCTGCTTGCCTTTTCTTTCTATGGGCCAGGCCCAGACTTCCTTGAGGGAAAAAACGGCGTCGTTGAGCTATCAAATTCTTCCTGCTACCCTCGTCTACAAATGAGAGAGCGCTTAGATCACCAAAACAGAGGAGCAGGTAGAAGTGATGAGAAGATGAAGCGAGAAATCAGAAGGCAGAGATGAGGCATCGAAGATGATGACTGGTTCGGAGAAGAGAGAAGGCAACAGAGCAAAGCAGCGGCGAAAAGAGGCCAAAGAAAAGGGATTCGGCTTTTGGTTTCGGGAAGTTGGTGTATGAGATGATTGATGATGGTTCAGGATGATGAGGACTGAGTAAAGGCCGACGTACTGAAGAAAGAGAGATGAGCTCGAAAAAGCCCTATAAATTGAGTAGAGCTGAACAGGCGAAGAAAACACAGAGGAGGAAAAGGAGAGAGTGTATAGCAGAGGAAAAGTTCTTAACCTCTTTCTTTGTTTCTGGAAAAATTGGAGAAAGAAACAGAGAAAAGAGCTCGAGAGTCTAAGGGATAGAAACTGAAAAAGAAACAAGAAAAGCCCGAGGAAGGAGCAAAGGAAAGAACTGAGATAGAAGAGGAAAATTGCGGAAGAGGCAAACTCCGGTTTGGGAAAAGGGTACAGTTGAATTCTTCTCTTTATGTTCTTTTTTTTGTGATTATATTAATTGTAACAGGGAATTGTGCTTGAAACTGTGAATTGAAGTTGAGGTACTGTGCGTCATGTTGTTTGGAGAAATGAAGCATGTCAGTAGGTATATGAAGCCCTTACTTTTGATAATCATCTTTCCATGATATTGGAAATCGCATCCTGTTATGTTCACCTAATTTCCATGCCTCATTCATGAATACTGTTAAGTTGAATGGAGAAATTGTGTAAGATGCAAAACTTTGAAATGCAAAATATGCTTGGGGAGAAACCATGGTCCGGTTTCATGCATGCCTTCCTTTTAAAAAATGGATTATAAGCATTTAAACAAGAAAAAGTGCCAACTTGATGTTTTTGTAGAATAGGTATTGCAGTCTAGAATTTGAACATTGGGTTGGTTTACATTTTGAAAATGCACAAAGAATTTGAACATTGAGTTGGTTTACATTTTGAAAATGCACAACATGTTCACAAAGTTCAAACTTTGGTTTTAACAAATTAGAAAATATTTAGATTATTTTTCCTTCTTTGACTGATAAGGTGAAGGGAAACAACAGTGTGGATGTGGATGGAACCATCTTTTGCGTAAAGACTTCTTTTCACAAGTATAACGAGAAAATTGACTCTGCTAAACTCATTTCAATGTTTTCTTTTTTTTTTGTTAACTCCGCTTTTCTAAACTCATTTCTCTATTAAGCCAGTGTTAATTTTTGGTTTCCCATGCTACGCGTAATTGTGTGTGTCTAACTATTTGAAAGTTTCTAAGATTTCTAGCATACTGCTGTAGTTGTTGTTTCCCAAGTCCATCTTATTTGATTCATATACAGATGAAATATATCCATAATGTCACAGAAGCAAATTAACATAACTAATATAGTAAATCTTTTGTACATAGGCGGTACCCTCTTGGTACCTTTTTCTAATACATTTACTAACTTTTATCTCAAAAAAATATGGTAAATATATACCAGGACATATACATATGTATATGTATGTGTGTGTCTGTTAAACTCGTGATTCTCCCTGGACTAATGTACTCAATAAAACCATGGAGTGCAGGCAAGGATTTCTACGGAAGGGCTTTTT